CTGCCATGAACGTGTTAGCAATTATTATAGATAGTTCTGGATGAATGTCTTTATCCCTGAAGCTTACTTATGATTTTGTCCTTGGAAATGAGGGGAATAATGGGTTCAAACTCCTTCAGTATCAAAAAGTCAAAAGTATTTCCCAAAGGCTGCAACTGACTTCAAACTTCCTGGGCAGCTTTTAAAATGGTAATACCTACTCAGAAGCAGCCTTCTCAGTTTTTCAGCTGTTTTTTAGTGCAAAGGGGCTGAGTTTTCATATGTAAATGACATCAGGTACTAAGTCTCTGAGTTACCTGCACGAAGTCCTTCTTTGACAGGTGCTGACTCCCTTTTAAGACACCAGTCAGACCCCAGTTGTTTACCGTATTTACGTGCAACCCCCAAATGTTGCCAGATCAAGCAAATAAAACTATTGGAAGTCAGTTACACTGGAATCTCGGATAAACAATGAATAATTTTTTGGTATAAGTATGTCCCAAATGGGCTGTGAGGTACACTTATACTTTAAAAAAGGATTTGTTGTTGAGATTCAAATGTAACTAGGCCTCCTGTATTTTACCCAGGTGTATCTAACCCTACCCATGAAGAGCGCATCCAACATTTGAAGCCCTCTCATTGTGAATGTGACCTTCATCTGTCCCCTGGAGTTAGTTCCTTCTGTTCTCCTGGGAGTGGGACTATCCATGTTGATTGGATGCCAAGGGTCCTCTCCCTGATGCCGGATTAAGAAAGCTGGGCATGGCCTAGAGGAGCTGGCTTTGTTTGTTTTGTTGGGTAAAGATTTTGCCTGCTTATATTAGTGGGTAAATGTTTGTTTTCTTTTGAGAGAGCCAGAAATATCCAGGCAGGCCTGGCCCCAGAAGGCTTGATGGAATAGGTCAGAGCAGCTTCTTCCTTGGTGTCCTTGAGGAAAGTCCCTTATGGATTTTCAAGGCCAGTGGAAAGAGAAAAGAGCATCTTAGCCTGAAGAAGCAGACAGTTGGGGGCTGAGGGGTGGGGGGTGTTCAAGCTTAAAGAGACATCAGGGACCATCTCCCCAACGTTTTGGTGTGAAAGGACTCTAAAAGCCTGCTGGAAGCTGAGGTCACCCTAAGAAGTCCTTCTCTTCCAACTTCTGCAGTGTGAGCACTGACCTCCCTCCTGGACTCTGACCCCTGGTCAGGAGTACCAGGCATCGTTGGGACACACAACAAGACTCTCTGTCCTCTGATTGCCCTTCAGGGAGGAGCAGAGAGTCATCCCACCCTTACCCACTGGCTGGTCTTCTATCTCCAGGCCAGAATGGCCCCATTTCCTCCAGCTGGCTGTTCTCTTCTGAGCCTGCTCCAGGCTCACCCGAGCCCACCTAGGTCTGCCTGGCTGCCTTAAGGCAGAGTCAAAATCTCTTCCCTTGAGATAGATATGTCTGTTTACGTGGCCTCGTATCAAATTAGCTTTTTGGACTGGTTCTACCACACTGCCCTTCATAGATAAGGAGGCTGAGGCCAAGTACCCAGCCCAAAGTCGCACAGCAAACGGGTGGCGGAACAACACCTTGAACCCGGGTCTCTGGCTCCTAAGCTGGACTTCTTTCTGCTGTCACACACAGTCCTGCCCACAGTCTATCAGGAGGGGTATATAGCCTGGAGGCTCTGCGTGTGGCTGGTGAGTGCCTGGTATTCAAAACCCAGGCCTTACGCCTGGTGGATACATGACATTGAGAACCTTTCCCAGCCTCTCTACTGAGATGATTCTGCACACACTTTAATGTTGAGTTCTAGGGATGGAAATTAGGGTGATCTTGGACACCACTCATGTATCCACTCCCTCACTGAGCGCCCTCCATGTGCCAGGTGTTGTTCTGGGCACTGGAGATGTGGCATCGAAAGAAACAAAGCCCTGCCCTCCTGCAGCTCACATTCTGGTCTCAGACACAAGCAACACAAACAAAAAATGTAGACCACTGTACAAGGTCAAGGAGCGGTGTGTGCGGAGAGGAAAAATCAAAACGGGGGCCCACCTCTGGTCTCACCCTGGACTCTTGTGCCAACTAGCGGACACTTTGACAATTTCCAGGGCTTTTTCTGCTTGTCACAATAGGGGCGGGCAGGTGCATACCAGGTGTTTAGCTGGCTGGTGCAGGCACACCAGACATCCTGCAATGCACAAGACACATGAAGCAATGAGGGGCTGAAAACTGACCTCCTCCGTGACACTCTGGAATATCCCAGCAGACATCTATGTAGGTGAAAAATCTGCTTATAATTATATGAACCTAGAACCTAACTTGGTTTTATAAATAAGCAGCAAGTATTTTGTACACAGATTTTTCACATACTGCACCTTCAGGAATTCAAGAACTATGTACACAGAAGGAAGGTTACACTACGTTTTGTTTGGGATTCCACAAAGAGTTGTTCACTGTTTTAAGAAATCACATCTCTGTGGAATCTGAGTCAACACGTTGTATCTTTGTGGCTGTCACATTTATAAGAACTCTAGGTATAAGTGCAGAGAGCTGCCAGAACATCTATTTGTTAAAATA